TATCAGCAAATTAAAGAAAAATCATATCATGCATCTTTTCTGACCACAATGGAATAAAGCTGGAAATTAACAACTCAAGAATCTCTAGAACATACACAACCACCTGGAGACTGAACAACAGGCTCCTGATTGAGCAGTGGGTCACGGAAGGAATCAAAAAACTTCTGGAAATGAATAAAGATGACAATACAACATATCAAAATTTATGGGATACAGGCAAAAGTGGTGTTGAGAGGAAGTTTATAGCAGTTGGTGCCTACATCAAAAAACTGGAAAAGCACCAAATAAATGAGCTATCAATGCATCTCAAGGACCTAGAAAAACAAACTATATGAAAAATTAGTGGAAGGAAAGAAATAATTAAAATTAGAAAAGAAATAAACAAAAGTGAAACAAAAAATACAAAAGATCAATGAAATAAAGAGCAGTTTTTTGAAAAAATAAATAAAACTGATATACCAATAGCCCAACTAACAAAAAAAAGAAGACCTAAATTAATAAAATCAGAAATGAAAAAGGAAATATAACAACAGATACCACAAACATAAAAAGAATCACCAGTAATTACTACAAAGAGCTGTATGCCAATGAATTGGGAAACCTAGAAGAAATGGATAGATTTCTGGAACAAACAGTCTACCAAAACTGAGTCATAAAGACATAGGAAACCTAAACAAACCAATAACCAAGATGGAGATTGAATCAGCAGTAAAGATCCCCCCAAAAAAGAAAAGTCCAAGATTGGATGGCTTCACTGTTGAATTCTACCAGAAATTTAAAGAAAAACTAATTCCAATTCTTCTCAAGCTATTCAAAACAACTGAAAGGAAGGGAATCATCTGAAACTCGTTCTATGAGACCAAAATCACCTTAATTCCTAAACCAGAAAAAGTTACAACAGAGAAAGAGAACTATACACCAATATCCCTGATGAACATAGATGCAAAAATCTTCAACAAAGTACTAGTTAATCAAATCCAACAATATATCAGAAAGATCATTTACCCAGACTAACTGGAATTTATTCCTAGTATGTAGGGATGGTTCAACATATGCAAATCATTACATGTGACACATCACATTAACAAACTGAAGAACAAAAACCATACAGTTATCTCAATAGATGCAGGGAAAGCATTTGATAAAATACAACATCTTTTCTTGATGAAAACCTTAAGCAAAGTGGGTATAAAAGAAACATTCCTCAAGACAATCAAGGCAATTTATGACAAACCCACAGCCAGCAACTTATTGAATGGGGAAAAGTTGGAAGCATTCACACTATGTTCTGGAACCAGACAAGGATGCCCATTCTCACCACTGCTATTCAATATGGTCCTGCAAGTTTTAGCCAGAGCCATTAGGCAAGAAAAAGAAATTAAAGGGACACAAAATGGGAAGGAAGAAGTCAAACTATACCTGTTTTCAGATGTCATGATTCTATATTTTGGGGATCCAAAAAACTCCACTAAGGAACTAATGCAACTCATAAAAAGAGTTTGGTATGGGCTGGCACCATGGCTCACTTAGTTAATCCTCCACCATGGCGCCAGCATCCCATATGGGCACCAGATTCTAGTCCCAGTTGCTCCTCTTCCAGTCCAGCTCTCTGCTACGGCCCAGGAGGGCAGTGGAGAATGGCCCAAGTGCTTGGGCCCCTGCACCTGCATGGGAGACCAGGAAGAAGCACCTGGTTCCTGGCTTCGGATCGGCGCAGCACCGACTATAGCGGCCATTTGGGGAGTGAACCAACGGAAGGAAGACCTTTCTCTCTGTCTCTCTCTCTTCTGTCTAACTCTATCTGTCAAATAAAATAAATTAAAAAAAAAAAGAGTTTGGTAAAGTGGTAGGTTATAAAATGAACACACAAAAATCAATAACCTTTGTATACCAGACAATGCCAGGCTAAGAAGGAACTTCTAAGATCAATCCCATTCACAATAGCAACCAAAAATAAATAAATAAATAAATAAATACCTTGGAATAAATTTAACCAAGGTTGTCAAAGATTCCCACAATAAAAATTAAAAAACATTAATGAAATAAACAGAAGACACCAAAAAATTGGAAAAATCTTCCAAGTCTGTGGATTGAAAGGTCATCAAAATATCCATACTACTGAAAGTAATTTACAGATTCAATGCAATCCCAATCCAAATTCCAACAACATTCTTCTCAGATCTGGAAAAAAAGATGCTAAAATTCATAAGGAAATACAAAAGAACCCAAATATCTAAAGTGATCTTATACAACAAAAACAAAGCCACAGGCATCACAATACCAGATTTCAAGACAGACTACAGGACAGTTATACTCAAAACAGCCTGGTACTGGCAAAAAAAAAAAAAAAAAAGACAGGTAGAACAGAACAGAAACTCCAGATTCACACATCTACAACCAACTCATCCTTGATAAAGGATCTAAAATTAATTCCTGAAGCAAGGACAGTCTCTTCAAGAAATGGTGCTGGCAAAACCAGATTTCCGCATACAGAAGTATGAAACAAGATCCCCAACTTACACCTTACACAAAATTCTCTCAAAACAGATAAACGGGCTAGTGCTGCAGCTCACTAGGCTAATCCTCCGCCTGCGGTGGCGGCACACTGGGTTCTAGTCCTGATCGGGGCGCCGGATTCTGTCCTGGTTGCCCCTCTTCCAGGCCAGCTCTCTGCTGTGGCCCGGGAGTGCAGTGCAGGATGGCCCAGGTGCTTGGGCCCTGCACCCCATGGGAGACCAGTAGAAGCACCTGGCTCCTGCCCTCGGATTAGAGCAGTGCACCGGCCACAGCGCACCAGCCGCAGCGGCCATTGGAGGGTGAACCAATGGCAAAGGAAGACCTTTCTGTCTGTCTGTCTCTCTCACTGTCCACTTTGCCTGTCAAAAAAAAAAAAAAAAAAAAGATCAAGGGCCTAAATCTATGACCCAAAACTGTCAAGTTACTAGAGAACATTGGGAAACTCTGCAAGACATTGACATAGGCAAAGACTTCTTGGAAAAGACACCAGAAGCACAATCAAAGCCAAAACTGACAAATGGGATTATATCAATCTGAGAAGATTCTATATTGCAAAAGAAATACTCTTCAAAGTGAAGAGACAATGAACAGAATGGGCAAAATTATTTGCAAATTATGAAACTGCTAGAGAATTAATAGTCAGAATCTCTGCTGTGGCCAGGGAGTGCAGTGGAGGATGGCCCAAGTGCTTGGGCCCTGCACCCCATGGGAGACCAGGAAAAGCACCTGGCTCCTGGCTCCTGGCTCCTGCCATCGGATCGGTGCGGTGCGCTGGCCGCAGCGCGCTAGCCGCGGCGGCCATTGGAGGGTGAACCAACGGCAAAGGAAGACCTTTCTCTCTGTCTCTCTCTCTCACTGTCCACTCTGCCTGTCAAAAAAAAAACACTCAAAAAATTCAAACAACAAGAAAACAATCCAGTTAAGAAATGGGCAAAGGACTTAAACAGGCATTTTTCAAGAGAAGAAATTTAAATGGCCAACAGACACATGAAAAAATGCTCAGGACCAAGAGCCATCAGGGAAATGCAAATCAAAACTACAATGAGATTTCACCTCACCCCAGTTAGAATGGCTTTCATACAGAAATCAACAAACAACAAATGCTGGTGAAGATGTAGGGGGAAAGATACCCTAATCTACTGTTAGTGAGAATGTAAACTGGTGTAGACATTGTAGAAGACAGTATGGAGATATCTCAGAAATCTGAATAGAGACTTATATGATCCAGCCATCCCATTCCTGGGAATTTACCCAAACAAAATGAAATTTGCATATGCGAGAGTGATCTGTACCCCCATGTTTATTGCAGCTTAATTCACAATAGCTAAGATATGGAATTAACCCAGACGTCCACCAACTAATCATAGGACAAAGAAATTACGGCACGGATACACTATCAAATACTATTCAGCAGTAAAAAAAAAAAAAAAAAATGAAGTCCTGTCATTTACACAAAACGGAACCACTATATTTAATAAATAAGCCGGTCCAAAAAGACAAATACCCTATGTTCTCCCTGATCTGTAGTAATTAATAGAGTATCTAAAAGGTAATGTATATGATCAAAATTGACATTTTGAGATTCAGTGATTTTTAACAGCTCTTTTCTCGACTACTGAAGAACAGCGGTTTTTTTTTCTTTATACTATTTGTTGAAGTCTTTACTTAGTGTAGGGTTAATTTTTGGAGTATAAAGTAAACTGAAAATAGATCCTTGTAAAGTTAAGGTTGGAAATAGGAAAGGTAGGAGAAAGAAGGGTGAGAGTGTGGACGGGAGGAAGGGTAGGGTGAGAAGTATCACTATGTTCCTGAATCTGCATATATGAAATTTATATACCTTAAATTAAATTTTAAACAAATAAATTTTTAAGTGGCTTTGAAAAAAGACACAGTGTTGAATGGGCATAGAGTTTTAATGTTACAAAATGAAAAGATTATGGAAAGATAGTGGTGATGGTTGCACCACATCATGAATGGATTTAATACCATTACACTGACTGTATACACAAAAATCGGTAAGATGGTAAACTTTGTTATGCATACTTTACCACAATTTAAAAGAAAACTGAGGGGCAAAACACACCCTGATTGAAGGAAAAGCTTACCACAGTTCAGCTAAGCTAAGCAAGCCAGAGATGACTAGCTCTAGATGATGTCTGAGAGAAAGACAAAGGCCAAACACATAAGGCTTTAGCAGCCCTACATCCAAAAGGTTTGGTACTTTAGAAACTTGTTCTCTATCTTAAATCAAATGTTCTGACTTTGGGCCGGTGCTGTGGCTCATCAGGTTAAGCAGCCTCTGCAGTGCTGGCATCCCATATGAGCACCAATTAGAGTCCCGGCTGCTCCACTTCTGATCCAGTTCCCTGCTAATGTTCCTGGGAAAGCAGCAGAGGATGGCCCAAGGTGCTGTGGTTCAACAGGTTAAGCAGCCTTAACTGTGACTTCGGGAGCTTGGGGCAGCTCTCTGTGCCATGACAAGGATGGCGGGGAGGGGAAAATTGATCGCAGTGATCGGAGAAGAGGACACGGTGACTGGTTTCCTGCTGGGCAGCATCGGGGATCTTAACAAGAACCGCCACCCTAATTTCCTGGTGGTGGAGAAGGACAAGACCATCAGTGAGATTGAAGACACTTTCCAGCAGTTTCTCAACCGGGATGACACTGGCATCATTCTCATTAACCAGTACATCGAAGAGATGGTGCGGCACGCCCTGGACACCCACCAGTGCTCTATCCCGGCTGTTCTGGAGATCCCTTCCAAGGGGCACCCCTATGACGCTGCCAAGGACTCCATCCTGCGCAGGGCCAATGGCATGTTCACTGCAGAAGACCTGTGCTAGGAGATGCCCCACAGCCCACAGCCCTCAGCCCTCCCGCCCTTCCAGGCTTCTCGGCCCCTCTCTGAAGTTTCAAGCCTCTGATTTCCAAGTCTCCACTCCTTCCCACCCCAGTGAGAGGCTGTGTGAGGTGCATCTAGGTTGATGGGATGCTGCTATTAAAAGCCAGGCTGGTTAGGGAACAGGAAAAAAAAAAAAAAAAACGCAGTGCTGGCATCCTATATGGGTACCAGTTCAAGTCCCAGCCGCTCCACTTCTGATCCAGTTCCCTGTGCTAATGCTCCTGGGAAAGCAGCAGAGGACGGCCCAAGTCCTTGGGAACCTATACCCACATGGGAGACTTGGATGAAGCTCCTGGCTTCAGCCTGGCCCAGCCCTGATCACCGCAGCCATTTGAGTGAGCCAGCGGATGGATGATCTCTCTCCTCTCTCATTGTTAACACTTTCAAATAAATAAATAAATCTTTAAAAATACATAAATAAATGCTCTGACTTCACAGCCCTTAGGAAGTACTGTGCGCTGAAGCTCATTATCCAATACAGTAGCTACTAATTATTATTTTTTTTATTTTATGACAGGCAGAGTGGACAGTGAGAAAGAGAGACAGAGGGAAAGGTCTTCCTTTTGCCGTTGGTTCACCCCTCAATGGCCGCTGAAGCCGGTGCACCGCGGCGATCTGAAGCCAGGAGCCAGGTGCCTCTCCTGGTCTCCCATGTGGGTGCAGGGCCCAAGCACTTGGGCCATTCTCCACTGCACTACCGGGCCACAGCAGAGAGCTGGTCTGGAAGAGGGGCAACCGGGACAGAATCCGGCGCCCTGACCGGGACTAGAACCCGGTGTGCTGGCGCCACAGGCAGAGGATTAGCCTATTGAGCCGCGGCACTGGCCTATAGTAGCTACTAATTATACATGGTCCCCATAAGCATCTGAAATGTATACAGCCTAATTTGAGATATGCTATAAATATAAAATGTATACCAAAGATCAAGACAATACAAAAAAAGTAATAGATCTAATTTATAATTTATAAACTTATTATCCTTTAACTATTACACATATTAACATCTTATATTAATATCTTAATGTTAATACTAAGTACATTATATAAAAAGTTAGTATTTAACATTAAAATTATTAAATATTATTTCACATAATAATGCTAAGATTATTTACTAATATGTTTAATATATTACTTTGTCTGTATTTTCTTTGTAAATGTGGCTACCAAAAACTTGAAATTACTTGTGGCTCATGCTACATTTTTCTTGGACAGCACTATAATAAAAAGGATTTACAAGAGTAGGGATCTGATCTTTTTTTTGCTCACTGCTTGTCATATACTTAGTATTAAATAAATAATTAAGGAATGGGTACAGACTTGTCAATACATAAAGAAAGGGACACCTTCATCTGATACTCCCAATCTTTCCACATTAGTGGTCTGTGGCCAAGGTTGGGGAGAGAGCAGCTAGGAGTGTTACTTAGGATCACACATTGTACCACCACTACAGAAGTGTAAAATGGTGGTGCTGTCATATGCAACTGAGTTTTCCCCTCTCTGCCAACAGTCCCACTCCTTGTGGATGAAGATGAAAGAGCTGGGCTATAACAAAAGCAACTGCAGCCCATAATATTGTCTTGTTTAACTACTGTACTGAATACTTTTCCAGTTACCTAGACTTCAATATTTTTTTTTAAGACAGGCAGAGTTAGGCAATGAGAGAGAGAGAGACAGAGAGAAAGGTCTTCCTTCTGTTGGTTCATCCCCCAAATGGCCGCTACGGTTGGCGCGCTGCGCCGATCTGAAGCCAGAAGCCAGGTGCTTCCTCCTGGTCTCCCATGGGGTGCAGGGCCCAAGCACTTGGGCCATCCTCCACCGTACTCCCAGGCCACAGCAGAGAGCTAGACTGGAAGAGGAGCAACCGGGACGGAATCCGGCACCCCAACCGGGACTAGAACCCGGGGTGCTGGAGCCGCAAGCGGAGGATTAGCCTAGTGAGCTGCGGCGTCAGCTAGACTTCAATTTTTATCCTCTTAACATTTCACCATTGCCAACCAATGACTAAGTCACTAATGCTCCATTAATTCTTTGTTATCTCTGCTCCCATACCCTACACTTTTCAGAGTTAACCCAGAGAAGGCTCAGAATTAAATAGACCCACTCTACTTCAGGTCTCAAGATATGTTTGATTTCAATATTCTACAGCTACTGGACAAATTCACAGCAAGAAAAAAGGAAGATTTGGCAGAGATATTACACTGATTCATGAACTGTCTGGCTTTGCCATGTCTTGAAATGGTCATTCCAACAATATTATTCTATAATATATCAACAAATGTTTTCACATGAAAACAGTCTTTTCTTAACTATACAAATTCACATTCATCCACTCTACTGTACAGACACTGTTGAAAGTGCTAGGTATACTGAGATGGAGGAACTGACAGTTCTAGTCCTTATGAAACTTATAAAAATATCTGAGAGCATAGCCTGAATTTGGCTCTGAGCTGTGAAAAATGGAGAGTCCAGAGGCCGGCATTGTGGTGCAGCAGGTTGAGCTGCCACCTGCAACACCAGCAGCCCATACTGGAGTGCCCATTCAAATCCAGCTCCTTGCTAATGCACCTGGGAAGGCAGCAGAAGATGGTCCAAGCACTTGAGCCTCTTGCAACCCATGTGGGAGACTAGATGCAGATTTAGGTTCATGACTTCAGCCAGGTCCAGCCCTGGCTGCTGTGGCCATTTGCTGGGAGTGTGGGTAAGGGTACCAGCAGATGGAAGATCCTTCTCTCTCTTTCTTTCTCTCCCCCTCCCCCACCACCCCCATTATGATGAGGCAGAGGCCTTTCAAATAAATAAATAAATCTTTTCTTTAAAAAAAATGAAGAATACAGACCTAAAGCAAATATGTAAAGTTTAGACAACCTCTCATTCCTTATGTTTTTCTCCCTTTGGTAAGAAATCTCTCCCCCTAATTCAGAGAGGTAATGTTCTCTTATTCATTTAATATCTTCCTCTACATCAAAATATAATGCAGTACACAATCATTCACATCAGCACATAAATAAGCTTCAATTAAAATTTGTGGTACAGTATTATTTCCACAACCATTTGAACACTAAGACTCAAAAGTGATATCCATTCTTTAAGCTTTTTACCCTCAATTATGAAATGAAAGACTTCTATGCCTCAATAAAATCATTTTAAACAGTGAACAGAAGAAATATTTTCTAGAATATACAGGCACAATGTTGTATTCTAAGTTTTTACTTTGATGTCTTAAATAAAAAGTATAGGAGGCCATTGCTTTGACTTGAGTTCCTGCACTAGGTCCTAACAGCCCAGATTAAAAGTCAAAATGGATCACCCAGGTTTGGCGCTATGGCACTGTTGGTTAATCCTCTGCCTGCGACACCAGCATCCCAAATGGGTGCCAGATCAAGTCCTGGTTGTTCCCACCCAGCTCTCTGCCATGGCCTGAAAAGGCAGAAAATGACCCAAATTTGGGCCCCTGCACCTTCTGGGAAACCCGGGGGAAACTCCTGGCTCCTGGCTTTGGATGGGTGCAGCTCTAGCTGTTGCAGACATTTGGGGAGTGAGCCAGCAGATGGAAGACTACTCTTTCTCTCTCCCTATCTCTGCCTCTCTAACTGCCTCTCAAATACATAAATAAATCTTTAAAAAAAAATGGATCACCCATATTGAAGTTCTAAGTCACCATACTGAAACTGGATTGTGATCTGACGTGAGAAGAAATAAAGAGAACAAGAGATAGCCAAATTCCTTAAATAGATGCATTCTAATTCAAGTCCATAATAATGAACTTTCCTCTGCTTTAATCCTTACAAAAAAGTAAACTGAAGTAGTGTATTGTTGACCAATCAGTTGTTTTTCTATTGTTCCGGCTCTGTTCCCACCTTACAAAGATAGTAATCTGAAATGATCAATTAGCTTTTTGTTCTTGTTTCTGTTTGTTTCTGTTGTTTTCTTTGGCCTTTCTCTGTCTATAAAATTAGCATCCTCTGCTCTGCACACTGGAATACCAATTCTATTCCATGGAATGAAGAATCCAATTCTAGAACTGCAAATAAAGCCAATTCAGATCTTTAACTAAATCTGTTATAATGTTGTCTTTTGACAACAGTTTACAAAGAGTATTTTATGAGATTTCACAAGTAAGCAGAAACACTAATTATCATCCTTTTTTATAAATGAGGAAACACACTGAGAGAAATCACATGGTCTGTAGGATGTCATACAAGTACTAAGTCCAGTCCACATGTCTTCTACAGTCAATACTCTTGTCATACCACTGCCAAACATCTCCAACAGGAATGCATGAATTGGCCTCAATTTAAAAAAAGTGTTTCAAAGCTCCTTTCAAGAATGATACTCAAAATATGTGACCAAAAGTAAAGTGAGGCTGGTGCTGAAGCGCAGTGGGCTAAAGCCGCAGCCTACAGCGCCAGCATCCCATATGTGTACCAGCTCGTGTCCCAGCCGCTCTAATTCCGATCCAGCTCCCCGATATGGCCTGGGAAAGCAGTAGAAAATTGCCCAAGTACTTGGGCTCCTACACTACATGGGAGACCTGGAAGAAGCTCCTGGCTTCAGATCAGTTCAGAGCTGGCCGTTGTGGTCATCTGGGGAGTGAACCAGTGGATGCAAGACCTTTCTTTCTCTCTCTGGCTCTACCTCTCTATGTGTAACTCTTCCAAATCAATAAAATAAATCCTTAAAAAAAAAAAAAAAGGTGAAGTACAACTCTAATCAAAACAGCTGTTCCACTTCAGTTTTCAAATGTAAAGTATTTGACATGGTATGTCCATCAAATAAAACAGTATACCTGTTAATAAATTCTGCAAGTAAGCCTACTCACTTGGCCTAAAGAGCAATCCTGAGCACACTGTGGGCGGCGTAATGAATAGTTTATTGAAAATAGATGCTTAGGGGTCAGAGCTGTGGTATAGTAGGTTAACCCTTCCCCTGTGGCACCAGCAT